GAAGCTTTAGTACCTGGCTGCTACAAGGAAAGGAACAAAGGGTATTTTTTGTATAAAGCAAGTCCAGGTGTCAAAAAAGAATGACCTTGTATTTCATAAATCTATATGTAGTAATGAACAAATGCAGCAGATGCTGTCTAGGTGAATGCAGTATATGTATTCTTTTAATCTTTTCCTGTGTTTTTTTCAACAGCTCCATGGAACATCTGTATATCTTAATTGCTTGGGGCACCCTTGAAAAACATTTCTCAAGTTATGAAAACTCACAGTTGGCAGGCAGTAAACATTTTGCGACAGCTCGTCTTCTCCCAAAGATATCTTGGCTGAAAGTGATAAAAAATGGCCCTTTAAACTTCCCTGTGATTAAAAACAAACTTTAAAAGTCATTGGCATTTTAATGAAAAAAATTTAAAAAATCTGTTCGCTAGAAACTGTTTTTCTGATTTTTTATTTAAAATATCACCTGGTTTATATTTGTTGCTATGAAAATCTAAAAAAAAAAAAAAAAAAAAACAGAGGAAGAAACATCCAAAAGAACAATGACAACTGTGTTTATAGAATATTTTTAAGGGCAAAAAATATTTCTCACTCAAATATACAGACTATCAGATAAACAAAATCAAAACATTATACTTGGCAATCTCATAAATAAGCAGCAAGCAATATTATTTTCTTTTGATATTGTATAATATGAGGCCAGTATCTCTGGAATAGACTGATGTGACAAGATAGAAGTTTGGTTCTTTAAAGACTTGGTTTATTAGTATGATTTCTCAAATCATTACGTACTATGGCTTTGGTTTTCTCACCTACTGAGCAGAGTCAAGAATTCAGTTTTCTGCTTTTCTCAGAAATCACAGCATAAGAACTCAGTCCAAAATTCAACAATAATGTGGAGTTGTTTGACCTAGGTGGAGGGTTTCTCCAGAACACATCTGGTAAATGGAAACTATTTTTCAAACTTCCAGCATATATCCATTCCTCGTCACTACATCCCACATGCTCAAATGCTCACCTTGCATTAGAACTTGTTCTCAATTTTTCTCTTTTATCTCTTTTCCTTGGACTTCACATAAACTTTTCATACACATTAATTGCTAATGCACTTACTGGCAATAACCTTCTCACTCTCCTCACCCTCCACACTGCTGGACTAGATAAGCTCAGCTTTTTCCTGATCTTTCTAGCAAAACTTGTTTGTGCATGTTTTACTTTGCATCTATCTTTTCTAAATCCAGGTGACTGGATTATACACTGTATTGCATTTGAAGTTTTAGCACCAGCTCAACAAATCATAAATAGAAGACTTTTTCTTTCTCATGCTGATACTTGGTGGGCTGAGTATGATAGTCCCCTTCCAGCCTCGATGGTGAAGTCTCCGTCACAGAAAGCACTATTTTTCACACTAACTGACATGATCCCTGGCTTTCTCAGCAAGGAAGGACTAACTTGTTAAAAAGGAAAGCCAAAAAAGTCCTATATATATATATATATATTTTTTTTTTACACTCCTATAAGCCTTTCTCTTTCATTGTAGCTGACACAGTAGCAGGAACTAGGGAGAGCACACTGACCACATTGACAATGCCAACTCTCTTTGTATGTATATACACGTATGTGCATATGTTGGAAAGGCTTCATTATTTAAGGATACTTATTTATTATGCCTGTAAGCATTAAGGTTTCATTTAGCAAATTTCTGAAACATGTGTTCACATTAAGAAATATATATATGACATACACTGACTTCCACCTGTTGTTCTACCTGCTTAACTGACATAACAAACAGACAAAAAACAAACAAAAAAACAAAGAAACAAAACCCTGTATTATTTATTATTCTGTATTATTTAATACCTTTCTGTATTATTTAATACAAAACTCTTTCTATATTATTTAATATAACCTGCTTAGCAAGCCTTTATGGAGTGTGACATTATTGCATGTGGTTAAATATCTGTCCTTCATAGCTGTATGTTTCTGTACCTTTGGGGAAGGCTGCAAAGGATGTTTTTATTAGAGTTATAGGTAGACATAAAAAAATGTACTCTGCCATCTATTGTAAGCATTTACCTGATTTTCTTGCAGCAAAAAAAAAAAAAAAAAAAAAAAGGAAAAGCTTTTTTTTTGATTGTTCACAGGTACCTACAAGAAAGCTATGGGTTGATTACAAGTACACAATAGTGGACAGTGTTGATAGGGGTCTGAATCTTTTGTTTTCTTCACCAGCTTGTCTCAAAAAAAGAAACTGCCTAGAGTGTAACCATGGCAAAGACAAGCCCCTTAGTGTGATTCAAAGATAAAGACGTGATATTTTTTATGTGACTGCAGGGAGCTGGACAATAGTTCTCGAGTGAACTACCCCATCTGTTTCAATGAGGTGTTAACTCAAACACCTGGGGATAATAATGTGATGTCTCCACGGTAAACTATTTCATTCGTCATGGAAGCAGATTTGAACAATTTATTGAGACACCTCATTTTTCTCTCAGACTGATGTCTGTTCTATGCAGACTGTCTTGTGGCTGCCCTCAGCTCTGTAATGCCTGGGCGCCTTCCTACACGGCAAGAAGTGAGGCCTCATTGCAAAGCCCAGATCCTCTCATTTTCCTCTCTATTTTTTTTTAGGCATTCTCAAGTGTTATTTACTAGCTGAATATTTGTAGTGTACCTTAGAGAACAGTCAAACAAAGTAAAAGAAACTGATTTCACTATCCTTTAGACCAACTTTGTTTTGCCTTGAAATGCCTGCTCTGTATGCTCCACTCAGATGAGTTGCAAGAG